GTGTGTGCTGGTTTCATCTGGAACTACACGTGTCCGATAGTTACCCAAACGCATTCACACACGTAGACTGAGGGACACGGCGTGCTTTCACTTCACAATTCAATATGCAACCGCGCAAACACGTGATTGTCTCAAGCTCTTTCCTCACAGTCCCTAAGTGTATGTCCAAGTTCGACATCCGCCTGTGGCTCTGATCCGTAGTCAATTATCACGTACACTGCACTCTGACAGAGCACGTATCAGCCGAAGTAGGCATGAATCCCAAGGAAGATCATGATGAACCTCATATTACGACTCACCGACTGGCCGACGCTACTGTCGCAGGTCAGCTAGATGATCAATTCGACGATGATACAAAGGCAGCGGTGATTCGCCAGGTAGACCACTATTTTTCAGACGAGAACTTGCCAGACGACGAACATCTGCTCGCCAAGACAGGTGACAATGGTAATGGGAAGGTCTCCATCAAACACATTATGGGATTTCCCAAGATGAAAGCTTTCAAAGGCAAGATCAAAGTCCGAAATGCACTTCGCGGGAGCCTCTTAGTAGAGCTTGTCGACGAGCAATTCATCCGGCGCAAGCATCCACTGACTGTACCATTGCGTGTCAAACCTAAGCTCCATCACAAGGTTTCACCATACCAGCCACCTCCTGACAAACCGTGGTTGACGAAAGGTATGATGAAGCCCACCGGGTTTGAAGATGCTATTGAAAGACCAACAGCCCCTGAGAAGCAGAACGCGAACGATGGCCTATACTCGTCAGACAAGAGCTTCATCACCCGCATTGAGACAGCCATCACCCTTTTCTGCAGTGGGCGAAAGATGCATCAGACAGTCAGGTCTTTGTTCAAGAAATGGATGGTGTTTGGAGGGTTCGATGTGGGCCAGCGTACTTTTGTAGGCAAGATTCCGCAGCACGAAATGGAAGAGCTGGAGTCAGATAGACAAGCAAAGGCGTATCGTCTTCAAGAACACTTTGTCACCCCTGCAGTGGAACAGGGACTGAGTTATCAAGGCGGACAGGAGCCAACTTGGTACGTTGACTTTGTCGAAGCAGCTAAAGCCTTCCTCTCAACAACCTACATGGAGCAGTTTGATTGGGAAGCACAACAGGAAGTGCATACGCACATGAACGTCTTCCGTAGTTTTTACAACTACCTCATCACGCAGAACGTATGCCCAGAATACCAGGATCAGGTCCTGCAGGCAAGGAACTTCTGTGATACTACTGAAGCTGAGTTTGCAGCGCTTGCAAATCTAAAGAAGAAGTTCCCTGGTGACATCAGCTGGGCTTGCTCAACGCTGACCCAACCGAAAGACGCCGGCACGAGTGACTGGAATGCATGGCAGCACGCCGACGAGTCTCGCGATAGGGCAGAATCGCATGCTGTCATATCCGCAGCGGTTGCTGCTTTCGCAACTGAACTAAAGCTTCAAGATCTTGTGACTTTGCAAGAAGGCAGTGGAATACCAGCCACTGATGTTCAGTTTAAAGGCCTAGTGGGATTGGAAGTTGTCGAGACCATTTGGCCAGATCAGAAATGCAGAAAAGCATACGGCAGTTTCCAAGCCGTAGCTGACATGGCCTTCAGCTTCCTAAAGCCACTCGGCCGGATCATCTGCGCACGATGGGACGTACCACATGCTTCACCGAAAGATCTCCCCGCTGGAGCGCTTGAGAACACCCCCGGTATGTTCGAGTTCTACATGGACGTGGACGTCCTACAACATTGCTATGTTGGGCTGAAGATGGAGGCTGAGGTCACCGTGCTGAAGAGCGGCACCGCCTGGGTGAATAATGTGGTCTTGTACTGGCCGAGCTTCTATGTCGTCCTCCACAATGAGCGTATCAGAGCATGGAAAGAACCTTGTCCACCAAGAGAGAGAAATCAGAAGCTGACAAACACTCAGCGGAATGAAGCTGAAGACGGGAGCCGTGCTAGAGATGGATTGGGAATAGACTGGGTCGATTGTCCGACTGCAACGGACATTTCCCAAAAGGGAAAGGCGATCAAGCAATCTGGGGGTGAATCTTGAGGCTATCTCCGGAGAGCGTAGGAAGACTATTGCCTGAGTCTATCGCGTCCCCCCCGCCGACCTCGCTGAACAGCAGCTGTCGTGGTGGGCTGGATGATTAACCGAATTGACGACATTCAGCTCTGCAATGTGCACATGTTTGCGTGGCGGACATAGGCCCTTTGCCCAATCATGCCGATATAACAAAGCACATTGAGGATCCCTCACATTAGTGGCATGTTTCTTGCTGTGTAGCTATCACGATCCAAATTGCCCTCTAGATAAATCGAGTCATTTGTCCCCACCTGATGTCCCTGTTTTCTAGAGCAGCTCCTCGCATTATAGTGGCATCAAGAATAGCCCGCAGAGCCTCTCTACTCACCACACACTTCGCCCCTGCCTCGCAACAGAGCAGTAGAACAAGAACAATGGCGTCTATCCCAAGCACCATGAAGGGTGTCATTATCGAGAAGACTGGAGGCACTGAAGTGCTCCAATACAAGACTGATCTCCCAGTACCCCAACCTAAGGAGGGCGAGGTATTGGTCAAGAATGAATTCCTCGGCATCAATTATATCGACACGTAAGAAAATCAACCTGTCCTCTAATCTCTATCAATGACATTCACAGCTAATCGTGATCCATAGCTACTTCCGCTCAGGCCTTTACCCAGCTCCCGGCTTCCCCTACACCCTCGGCCGCGAAGCCTCTGGCACCATCGCATCCCTCGGTAGCGGCAGCAACTTTCACGGCCTGAAGGAAGGAGACCATGTCGTCTGGATGGCTGAAGGTGGCTACGCTGAATACACAGTTGCGCCAGCCGAGAAGACCTACAAGATTCCTTCCGGCCTGTCCGGCAAGATTGCTGTCGCTGCGTTCCTACAGGGTCTCACTGCTCTCACTCTCATCCGCGAGTCGCACCACGTGCAGAAGGGCGACTGGGTGCTCGTGCATGCTGCAGCAGGCGGTACGGGGCTGTGGCTGGTCCAGTTGCTCAAGGCTGTGGGCGCGAAGGCCATCGGCACGGCATCGACGGAGGAGAAGGTTGAGGCTGCCCAGAAGGCTGGAGCGGAATATGTGATCAACTACTCTCGCGAGGATGTAAAGAGCAAAGTGACCGAGCTCACGGGCGGGAAAGGATGTATTGCTGTCTTCGATGGCGTGGGAAAGACGACCTTTGACCTCTCGCTGGATTGCCTAGCGCGGAAGGGTAGTCTGGTATCCTTTGGCAATGCGTCTGGCGCCGTGCCACCTGTGACTATTGCAAGACTATCGCCGAAGAATGCAAGGCTCCTGCGCCCGACGCTCTTTGGGTACATCGCCACGAGGGAGGAGTTCGAGAAGTATACTGGAGAGCTGTTTGATTATATCCTCAAGGATGGACTGGATGTGAAGATTCATGAGGTCTATCCTTTGAGTCAGGTTGCAAAGGCACACGATGATCTTGAAGGGAGGAAGACATCTGGCAAGCTGCTTCTTGACCCTTCAAGATAGGGTGGCCTTTGTGCACAGAACAGGTCGATATCTACATCGTTTGAACAAGAGATGAATATCGCCAGCGTTTTAAGATTCCCAACCCTCCACTCGTCTAAGATACCTCTGGCTTTCACGAGGGATCTGTCTGACTGGTCGTGAGAGCCCACCTCTCTATGACTTTCTGTGCATGACTTTGGCCGCTGCCTTTTCAGTATGTTAGCAATCATGCTCTCCAGAGTGATGTACGTGAAATGATATAGGATCAACCATACCTGGTGGTTGGGGTAGATGAGCGTATCAGCAACGACAACATTCTCCCTTCTCCCAGCCGCGAACACAATCACCTCAGCAATATCATCTGGCGTCAAAGGCTCCACACCCTTGTACACCGCGTCCGCCTTAGCCTTGTCGCCATAGTATCTCACAACACTGAACTCGGTCTCCACCTGTCCAGGATCGATCTCAATGACTCGTATCCTCGTCGCGACAAGCTCTTTCCGCATCGACTCAGTAAAGCTGCGTACCGCAGCCTTCGTGGCACAGTAGATGCTCCCGCCCTGGTACGGGTCCCTGCCGGCGATCGATCCGACGTTGATGATGTCGCCGGCGCCGCTCTCCCCTCGGCTCTGCATCTGCGGCAGTACAGCCTGTGTCATGTTGATCAGCCCTGTCACGTTCGTGGCGAGCATGACCTGGATATCGTCTGCCTTGATGGCGCCGACCTCATCGTCGCCCTTGACGAGCCCGGCATTGTTGACAAGAACATCGATCTGCTTGAACCCTTCAGGGAGGCTAGCAAGGAGGCCGCTTATTTCGTTGGGTTTGCTGACGTCGAGCTTGACGGTGTGCACTTTCACGCCTTCGCCGACCTCTGACTTGATCTCGTCTGCGAGCTGCTTCAAGCTGTCGACTCGCCGTGCTGTTATGATGAGTTTGAGGTCCTTAGGCGAAGTCCTCGCGAATTCTAGAGCAGTGCTGCGACCAATGCCTGCTGAAGCGCCGGTGATGAGGACAGTCTTGCCTGCCAGGCGTTTCCCCATTGCTGTTGCCATTGTCCTCCTAAGTGCTTGCTGTGTTGCACTGTGGGGTATCAAAGATGCTAATCGTAATGATGGTGAGGATGTCAGAGGCAGTAATGTTCGCAGTGTTTGTAGGAAAGGTATTGTCTGCCGAAGAGTCATGTGGACGAGGTAGTCAGGAAAATTCGAGAGCCTAGCAATCACCTAATGAGGTGATAGATTATCAAGTATCATCTGCGGGTCAACCTGCTGCACCTGTCCTTCACCAGTCCTGACACATTATTTGCCCCGAGGCAGTGGGTTCTCCGCGTTCGCAATGACGAGGCAGTCCTGCAGTTTTGCAAACACTCCTACACAATGGATGCGTAGGCAATTGTCAGTAATGCACTTTTGAATGACAAAAGCAAGAGCCTTGTCGGATTCGAAGGGCAACTAGTCATGGAATTACGATGAGGCGGCTTTCGAAGCATAAGGCAAAAAAAGATGATTTCGTCCGGGCTCGAACCGGAGACCTTGAGTGCTCCGCCGGAATCTCAGTTTGAATCTGAGACTGGACTTGTTAGACTCACGTGATAACCAACTACACCACGAAACCTGAAGTCTAATCAGATCGATGGATGACGTGGCTTGTGTTTTTATTATATCACTTCAAAAGTTATTGAACCAGATGTCTTGTTACAAAGCCAATCGATTTTTATCTCACCCTGAAGTATTAATAATTGTTCACGCACAGACTATGTCGCGATGGATAGGCGTTTTTGCTCTATCCTATAATGATAAATACCTTCAATCACCTCTAATCTATTATCTAACTGTTGTGTATATGGCCCTTACATAATTCTCCAGAGCTAATAGATAAATGTTAACGCATGAACATCGGCTTATAACAAGCCTAGCTTAGCATACATGTATTTATCTAGGTATGCCACAATGATTTAGTTTATAAATAAGCAATACACCATCAACAACTCGATGCACAGGGACCACTACAGGATACAAATTACGATCCGTATTGATCACAAATACGTACAATCACTATGACGAACAGATAGTTCTTGCATGTGCTTTGCCTTTCCATTCAGCACATCAGGCAATGCGCCATGCATGATCGTGACAGCTATCAGACGGTAGCTCTTCCACAGCTCCACAATTGCATGAAGCGCCGGTCTTCATCGTTACTGCCATCATTCTAGCCGAACTGATATGTGGTAACTGACCGCTCCAGAAAGAGCGGCAGGAGGCAATCCAATCCCTAAGCCGAAAGGATGGCAAAGCCGTCGTCACCATCATCGCGCTCTCGGGCGCGACAAGCACCGGGAAAACAACCTTCATCGTCCTGCTGTTGGAAATCTTCCAGCAGCATGTCCCCATCTCGATCGTGTACATCAATGAAGACGCCTTCTTTAAAGAAGTCGACGAGCTGCCTGTCGTAGGCAGGGTTTCCGGATAACGACACCCTAGAGAGCCTGCATACAACCAGCATGCAGAAGGTGATCCGGCACGTGCAGTGGCACGGAGCCACGCCAGATACGTTTAAGCCTACCCATTCATCGACTAGGCTATCGAGGAGGCGCGGAAGTCCCTACCGCCAGATCTTGTTCTCGCTTTGTCTGAGTGTCTAGATGATTTTGGGGGGGACTGGACGAAACACAGGGCTCTGTTCTTCGTCGAAGGCTTTCTGCTCTACCATTCTAGCCCTGAGCCTGTGACATTCAGCGAGTTATTCGACTTCAGGATCTTCTTAGTCGCTTCGTACAAGGAGGCCAAGCGTAGGCGCTGCAGAGGTATATTGATCACCCGCTCCTCCTGACTCGCCAAATTACTTTGGCAAGTTTTTTGGGGTCACTGTGTCGGATACCACAAGCATTTGTTCGATGGAGACGATGCTGGGGACTCGCCCATATTTAGGGGAGGTTTAGATATCAGTCGAGTCCGGGAAGAGTTCGGTACCAAAGCGCCGGAACAGCCTGATCTGGACCTGGATACGACACTCAAATGGACTTTCAATGAGACCTTAGGGTTTCTTAGAACATTGAACTGAACTGAACTCATTGCAAATTTCTGTAGATACAAGACAGCTTCGAAAGGGAGGTGTGTTTGGGAGGCCCGATCAGTCTTTACCAAACAAGCGAACGGAGCACTGTGATACTCACTATCCAGACTGTTTACGCTACCAATCATCTCAGCAGTGCGGTAACCTCCCAGACTGGCCGGACTGCCGGCACTAGTTCCGGCACGAGAAGCTTCCTGGCTGCTGTAAAGGAGGCTCTGAAGGTCTGACCGAACGGCCTACAGGTAGGCGGCGGCATAAAGGGCAGCAATTCCAAGTCCTGGATTGAAGCAGGAGCCGAGAGGGTTCGTCATCCCTCGAAACCGGAAAGCCTGGCATGTGCTAATGTGGAAATTTACAGGTGATCATGACGTCGTTCTTGTTCCCGAATGGTAACTACTCTCAATAGCATCTCGACAGTACTCTGAGAGCACTCGACCAAGATCGGAGCAAGCTCATGGTTGATCTGAGCTGCCGTAGGACTGGCGACTCGTGGTTCGTAGCCATGAACGAATGGCAGACCGTCACAGAATTCGAAGTAAATGAAGGTAAAATAAGGAATTGCTGAGCAATAGTTATTACACTCGTCGTTCGGCTGACTGCCTCGAAGAGCATGTCAGAAAGTTGAAACAGTACTGCAGCGAATTTCTGATCCACGCTGCGGATGTTGAAGGTCTGCAAAAAGGTATTGACGAAGATCTTGTGCGAAAGCTCTCCGAATAGTGTACCTTGCCGATCACCTATGCCGGTGGTGCCAAGTCAGTGAATGATCTCCAGCATGTCAAGGAGCTCAGCAGCGGCAGGACCGATTTGACCATAGGCAGTGCGCTCGATATCTTCGGAAGCAAATTGGTTTCTTTCGACGAATGTGTCAAGTTCAACCAGGGGCAGGGTAACACGTGACGGTTTTCGTTGTGATTGCCGGAGTCCGGGATACTTGACGGCCGATGTGGAACACCATAAAACATATGGTGTCTATCACTATGACTTCTAGCTACTCTCACCTCTTCTGGGCCCATCTAGTCAAAATGTCCCGACGTTCAGTGGAAGAGATGTGAGAAACGAGTCCTTTTAGAGTAGGCTACTTAACACAAACATAAAGAGTTGATGGCAGATGATTCAGAATATGATCATTCTCAAGCCACTAGGCTGGGGCTCTCCAATAAGCCTCCATGCACAGCCAAAGCAAGATAGTTTTAGATAACTTAACGACTGATAAGAGCTAATCATATCTAATGACTAGAAGCAAAACAGTTTTCTTTCTGAACCTAGGTTACAAAGATACGGATCTGTCTAATACTCGATCCGAGACACAGCCGCTAAGGTTAGTGACGCAACATGGAGAAACCTCATAACAGACGAACATGATAAATATATCATTTCTCCGAGTAAGCTACGGCGGCTCGGGTCTTACGGTTCATGAGATAGGAAGTTTGGTAGGCGTGGTGACTACACCAGCAATGGATGTTGACATGTCTTCTATTCTAACCCGAATATTAAGGCGAGTATGGATTGCGTTGAGGCAGAGGGCGATGAAGTCCGGAGACTTCGTTGAAAGCACGAAAGTGGGAGCAGAGGGAGCAGAGGTTGGTATATGAGGCGGGGAGGAGGAGGACCTTGAGGAGTTCCGAGGGTGGCTGGTCCATGGAGTTTGACCGCGCAGACGTATGCTGTGTAAGGATGTTAGAAAAGGAGACTGAGGACAAGAAGTGAGGCAGTGCAGAATCTGGCTGATAAGGGGTGAGGAATTCAATGAGGCTGCACTGATTGAAGCTGCAGTAGGGTGCATTGTATGTCCACCATCAAAACTCTCACGCCACAGGGCTCCAACTCCAGCGCATTTAAGGACGTAGCTACATTAGTCTTCTCGGAGCAAGCAATGGATTATGAAACTAGAGTTCTAGCTTGCTCAAGCCTGGAGATACTTTGTAGGAATGGACAATGACTTCCATGTTTGAGAGCGCGTTGATGATCCGAGAACGTCGTATTATACGGGAGCTTCTGGACCAATGTCTGGAATGATATATATATAGTACTAAGCGCCTCAGTAAGATATTTGTTAGTGCTTAGACTTAGTGGCATCGTCTATAGTGCCAACGCAACTTCCATTTCAATACAAGCACCAACACTGCAACTTGTGTAATGGGTCGGTCTGTTTCAGCGGCTCACGCCTCTCTACCGTCGGAGGGGCATGATTTGCACAATGAGGCGTTAGATCAACTGCAGGTCTCGCAAGACGCTGCACGAAACAAGCTTGACGTCTTTTGATCCGATTTCAAAGAGTGAGAGTCTCGCCTACAGTGTGATTGCTGATCGCATGCACTGAGTAGGTAGTAAGAGACATCACCACGACACGTCTGAGACAACGACGGCTCCAATCAAGCGAACTTGGGGGTTCAAGAGGAGGATCTCTGTCACACTCAGCGGTGAGGTGAGAAATTGGCACTTTTTTGTAGGCAGAAGCTTTGTATGAACACACACTGTATCAATGTTGGATAGCATGTCCAATCGGTAAGTCACGCTGTCGACAACATTCTCGGCATCCATCAGACTAGGAACGAACGCGCACCGCAAGGATTCAAAGCGAGTCAAACTCGCTAGATGCTGCCACCATGCCGTTCACAGTTGGGCTAATGAACGCGATATAGCACATCGTTTCGAGAGTACTGCGCCCATTCGTGACCAATATAGCAGAAGGCTAGCACCAAGATGAGAGACATTTCCATATACAAACGACAGAGCTCCATAATGGGCCTGATTTGAAGGCGAGGAACCTGTAAAAGCCCCATTGCAGGGCAGGTAATGGAGCTAACACTCAGTAGCTCTGGCGCTGGAACGTATATCATCCAGAAGGATACTCGGCTCGAGAAAGCTGCATTTGCTGTGAGGAGCATCACGGGGCTTGAGAACGTCATAAACTTACTGCTACCTCGTCAGATGCCGTATTCCTGTCTGATGTCGATGTCACGAAGCTGAAGAAGTCTGAGTTTATGTTGCTCATCAGTAATAATGCAGGTAAGTGAAGCAGCGCACAATATGGCGCAGCACGATGTCATCGTTTTGAGGCTTGTCCAACCGTATAAAGTAGATGACGATGATAGAGATTTGCAGGAATACATCTATGTTACGTCCAATATGTATGCTGCGGTACACAAGTTGGTGGAGCTGCTCATATAGCCTCCGGTGGACTGGGAGCAGGTGGCTGAGTGAGTCACTCCGTTATTTACCTGAGAACATTGTAATGAATCTATGGTATCTGGTTGGGATCCGTGTGCTTCTGTCTCGTGGGCCAGGCATGCGACAGGGTAGAGGTTTTGGAAGCGGTGGCAGAAGCGGTGATGGAAGCGGTGTGCAAGGGCAACAGACAGCAGCATGTTCACCAACGCGAAAGTGACACGCCAAGATGCTGGTGCCTGAGAGACGCGCATGGGCAGCGATGTTGTGCCCTCTAAAGTAATATTCACGCAGCATACTACACATCAATAGACACGATGTGAATCTCGATGATGCCGTGGGAGAGACATCATGACTGCCAATGCGCGGTT